TACTTGCGTCAGATCCGCGCTTTGGATTTGGAGAAAGAATTTGCCATAACATTATACTCTGTTCCACGACAGGTACTCAATTAGAATTCGAAAGGGATCTCATGAATCTACTTTATTAAAAAATTCCCGTGTTCTTTATATCAGATGATCTTAATGGTCGTCCGTGAAATTATTAGTTGCGATCCTCAATACTGCCTAAAAGTCGTATACAATCCCGCATTATTTATATCAAATAGCCTCGACATCAACTACAGGGAGGAATTGATTTATACCTTGAAGCGTTTAATAATGGATTCGATCACAGGTACATCTCGTCAAAGAAAAAAATACATCTTCGTCAATATTCTAATTATAATCATTGAACTATCAGGCAGAGATCAGGTAAATGAGTTGCTTCGTTCAACAGCCAAACACATCGAAAGTTGCTTGGAGTCTGGAGAATCTGGATATGCATTTGACAAAGACTTCAATACGAGTGCTGCCGTTTGTGACGTGCTTGTGGATAATATGTATTCTTCACCTCTTTACTCTGGAAAATTCTCAAAAAAAACATTAAAAACTCAACAAAAAAGTCCAATTCCAAGGACGCCAAAGAATATAGATTCTCTGTACGATGCGAGGTAAAACTATACTTTGTTTCCGTATTTTGGTATTATAGAATCGCGCTTTAAGATTTGCTTGTTTTTAATTATAGCATCATAGAGTGCTTGCAACTTGGCAGGAATTTTTCATTGGAGGGAAAAAAATGGTTTATACATCTTTTGGCTATATTTGATTATCTTGCATTCGTTGCGTGTTCAGCATGCTCGAAAGAAGAAATGGATGAGAATCTTCAAACTTCAGAAACGTTTATTATTCGCAGGATTATTATAAAGCTAAAAAATTCAGGCAAATTGTCACCCAAATATTGATTTAATGAGACAATATTGAACATATGGGTCTTATTAATTGGACCTATTTATGCAGAAGCGTTTGGCACCATGATAGCTGAGCTTGATGCGGATGATGAAGCTGCCATCTCAAATATTTTGAAATTTGTGCGCGAGGATAATTCGAGGATGTTGCAACCTTCAAAACCTACGGTAACATTTTTTTTATTCTACTATTATTCCTATGAATTCAATCACATTCTCTAATCATCATTCAATAAACGCCACAGTCCCGCTTAACACGTATATCAAAGCGGTATGTATAATCATGTTCTCAGTAAATCATTTAGCCATTTGATCTCCTATATTCAATGCCGATATCTTTAAAACAGTCTACATGAAGACAAGATTAAATATACAGAAACGATTGAGCGCATCTTGGCTTATGACGCAGTGGAACGAATAAAATATGGAGACAATAAATTAAATAAACACGAAGAAGCGTTTGTTTTGATATGTCGCACAATTCGTCAGAATCTCAATTACGACACTTCATTCGCCCTTCGATCGTTTAATTCAGAGTTGTCTTTCAAAATGAATTCTTCTACCACCCGTCCAGTGAAAAAAGATCTTGACGAGTTTCTTCAATGGGCAAACGAGAGTGTAAGCATCGGACTTCCTGGATGTGCGTCTCTTTTAAAATTGATGATACAATATCTTGATCTTTTCATGGGGTAGGTACAACGCTATTTTTCAATGATGTTCAGGCCTAACAAATACTTATTATTTTTTATTATTACTTCATATTTGAAGTACATCGTACAATCCGAAACAAATATCGACTTTAATCCTTGAAAATTATTTGCACATTGAGCTCTATCAAAGTGTAAAGAGGATAGTCAAAGTCTATCATAAACAAGGTCGATTTGAAGTGATCAAAGTACGTATCTCAAAATTCAACAACCATTACATAAACGATTATCATGTGAATAAAAAAGACTATTTGTCTATACTGACAGGCAGCCGTTGAGTTATTGATCGAAGTCTTCTCCCAAACTTCTTTCCACGTGAGAGCGATATTTCGAGATTATATTCTTCACGATAGGTCTCTATCGATATATCCAATTGCTTTTGGTTTGAGCAATAATTGTGATTTACCCTACTTCTTTATCTTTAAAAAAGACCCTCAAACATGCCAATTACCTCACCAACCTTTGAATTCTGGGAAATTTGGCCACTTGATTTTGAACAAAGAGTCACCCTCATTTGTAACCAGTTGGTTTCTTCTTCGGATGAACCTAAATCTAGACTTCCACAAGATGATTCTATACAACTACATATAAGAAATTCCTTGGTCTTGGTACGTGTTTCCGATCTTGATCTAAATTTCCATATATAATTTCGCGTTTACCATTTTATCAATTTGTTCTTATAGTTATCTCTAATATCCCCTTACAACCTACTGCGAAGATTAACTTGGGAAGCTGTGCAAAATAAAGGCCAGGCACCAATAATCCATCAGGCTTTGTGTGAAATTAGAACTGTCTGTTGGACTCGCGTGACTCAGGAATCACCTGCGTTGCTTGTTATGGTGTTTAAGGAGATATTGGCTAAGGCAGACGACGGTTTGATTGTGCTTACGCGTCAGCACCATAAGAATTGGGTTTCTTTCATCGTATTGTTACTTATGGTAATTTTATACTCCGTTATTTCAATACATTCGTCCAATTTATCTGCATATCTAAATCTTTGACGGCCTTTTTTATCATTTTCAAAACTCGCGTACACACAGGGAACTAATACTAAACTTCCTGTCGAGATTTCATTGTCTGAAACTGGAGAATGGGGTAATGTTGGTACTCTCATTGACACCAGAGAATACATTACACATTGTGTTGTTCCATATTTGCAAAATTCTACCAAAATTGGTCGAGAGGATACCATGAATCTGTCGCTTTCCGTCCTGCGCACACTACTGTCTCCAGACACATCAAAACCGCCACAAACGAACATGAGCTGGTCTTTAGGATCAAATCCTTTTATATTGTTGAATAATGTCGTGTTGTTATTTGATCAACGCAAGAAAGGATTGATTTCCATGACAAATTTTAATGTTGTGTATCCGTTGCTTAAAGAGCTGCTAAGACTTTTGACAGGATACATAGAGTCACCAGGAAATGATCACGATCAAAATGGTAGGATATCTCAATTTGACATCGGAAGAAAAGGTTTATATAATTACTCGCCTTGTCTTACTAATGATTCACGAAAATTCTGTCAGAAATGTACATGTCTGATGCCAACAATATTTTGAATTTTTATAAAGAATCATTAGAATACGGTAGGACTAATTAATATTAAACGAATTTTATTCATATTAATTATTTCTAATTTATCAACCTTCTAATTCATATTAATTATTTCTAATTTATTAACCTTCTAATTCATATACTTGAAGGTTGGACTACTCAACTTTTTTTAAGATCATTCATCAAAAGTTGTGCGAACCATTTCAGATTCGATGTGAACCTACCGTACGTTCCAGCTTTGCTTTTCTCTTTCTGTGAATTATCTGATCAAGAATTTTCGGAGGTAGAGGACTCGGTGTCTCGTGATTCGGAATTAACAATGAACCAGTGTACTTTATTTTTGGAGGCTTGCATGACCTCTGCTGATTGGTGTCATAAATTCAGTTTGGTAAAACAATCTCATCCCTTTTACTACCTATCAAAGCATTACCAACTGACCACGTTCCTTGAATGAATTACCAGGCTTTAAGCAACATAAAATCCGTCACAAAACCACATCTACGTAACATCTTTCGATCCGTTGCCCCTCATTCATTCTGCAATGTTCTTTCAAACAGTGTAGAAGAAGAGTCTGTTATTATATTGGATATATTGATAAAAAATTTGATTTCGCACGGTATTTTATCTGCTACCGAGCTACTGACGATAGATGAAGAACACAAAGATATTAATGATTCATCGACTATTTCGGAACTTGGAATTGATGGTTATTAGTAATCCTTCACCTTTTTCATTCGCACGATAAAGACTTGTTGCATGAATTAATTATTTTCTTGACAGAAAGGTTATCATTATGCTGTGTAAGATATTCTCTGACGAAAATTTTGCCTGCGTTACAATTTTATTCGACAAAGACAATCAAAAAAACTGGACTTATAGCCCATGAAGAGGACAACTGCGAATTCAATCAAGGAATTAAGGATTTACGAGTCGTGCAAAATATCATACACGTGATTAAGGTACGTTCATGTGCTATTCTTTTGACATAATTTCACATATTAACTATAATTAATGCTGCCTGAAATGCTATTGACAGACTTGCGCCCTTAAAAATACCGACAGTTTGAATTATTTGATATTGCTGTTTTATAGTACAGCCCAGGCACTTTTAATTTTATCTTATTCTCCAAAATCTGAAGAATGTTTATATATCTTTCTGTTATATATTGTTGAAATGGTTGATAGAACACGCACTGGTGTAATGTACAAGGAAGAGAGAGAACATTCTCTGACTAAGGAAACCATTATTTCTAAACCTGTTAACAAAAAACAAAAGAAAAAAAAAAGAGGAAAACGAAAAACATCCGAAATTCAAAAAAATCACCAATTTCAATCGCAACATAACGAAAAAATTCAGGATGTATCTTACCTAGCCCAAAATTCGAATGAACCTGAGCCGAAATCGGACACGACAGGTATATCCGAGAAACTCCCATTAGATGATCAGCAGAGAGACGACCAAACAGGACCGGTTGCATCAGCTTCTGTGAAGACAAGCGGTTATGATAATTACTCCGAGTGGCAAAAAAAAATAATTTTATGTGGAATAGATAAAATTAAAAGACAAAATGGTTGGAGGGACGCCGTGAAACAAGG